GAAAAGAGAGCATCCGGTCCAAGGACCAGGACGGCTCAGGTGGTGCATGAGAAGGCCAGTGGCAAAACAAAGCACGAGAAAGCTTACGGAACGTGGTGGAAGGGACATCCACCCCGAACACAAGCTGGAGTGGCCCCGCCAGCACTGCACGATAAGAGACAATAGTAATAGGCATAAGAAGACAGTCCTGAAAGAGCCAAGAAAGAAAGGACAAGACAACCCAAACAGAAAGAGAAGACAACCTATGAAGAGAGAGGAAAAGGCAAAAAGAATGCCAAGAGACTCCATACTGTCGACAAGATGAAAACCACAGGTGGGACACCTTCAATGAAGCCACCTGATCACCAAACAAGAGGTGATACACCTGTGTCCAAAGGACCAGAAGCGAAGAGTGGAGGAAAAGATCAAACTAACCACATAATGGATTGGCTCGATCTGCCCGAAGAAGTGGAGCTGTGGAAAATCCCCCAGTTCGGACACTGAGCAAGCAGTGGCCGAAACCAAGGCTGGGCCAGCCACCAATGGGCCCACAAGGACGACTCCAACCAAGCCAGAACCCGAAGCACCAGCTGGACCAGGGGGAAGAGGTACTGTTCAAGTAACCCCACCTCGACCAGTCCTGCTGAAAAGCGTCCACCCTGACAGTCACCACAGTCAGGGGAAGGGTGCCACATATAATGGGAGATGCCGGGACCACGCTGACACAAAGTAGTCCACCGGTGGAGGTCCATACATCTGGCAGAGCAAACTGAAGGAGTCAGCATCAACCGTCCATTCTGTGGACAGGGAAATGATTCGTGACAGACTGTTTGCCAGGATGTTGGACACTCCCTGGATGTGAACCGCATGCAGAGCTAAACCCCCAGAATCCAGCAGACGAGTCACTCAAAGCAACCAGCCCCAAAAAGCCAAGGACAGAAGAGACCTCCTGCGGTTCAGACAAGGAACCACCAAGGGGAGGTGCCAATTCACGGAACTCCGAATAATCTAGGAGGGAGGGAAGGATGCCAGGGAAGCCTCTGTGTCTCACCCAGAAAATGGCATTTCATTATATTCAACACTGGTTTTCTGTGGAGAGCCCCTTCGGCTCCCAGGAGCTAACTAACTAAAGCCCCAACACCATGAGGCACTCTCCCAGGAGTCGGCTGTCACTCGTTCTTCAACTCGAAGTCGCGACAACTGGCTGCAACCTTCGACGCAAGGCTACACATGCTCGAGAAGAGCCAGGAACAGTAACGAGGTACCATGCGACCAGGACACTGTTCGACCACCAAAAACCCTGTGCCCGAATGTCAGCCCAGGACATATTACCAAAAAACAGCAGCCAAAGCCGTAAACTTATGAACGTCATGGGCATGGGGGAATAGACCACAGGCTGGCTGGACCGAATAATCCTGAGGATGACCTGAGAGACCTGCGCCCTGGAACAGGGAAAAAGGGAAACCGGGTCAACCCAAAGCGCATCCCCTGCCATGGAGGCAGTGACGAGAAAGTAATGGCGAAGAGCCACAACCAGACCCAAACATGATGCACCCCCGGCCGAACCAACCAAGCATCAACAACCCAAGGATCCCTTCGAAAAGCAGCAGTCTCATTCTTTGCCAGAAAAGAAGGAGACGGCTACAAACGAACAAACCGACCACAAGAACCAAAAGAGCAGAAACCCCTGTGCCAGAGGAGAGCTTGACACTCCCCAATCCGATCGCCAGAGGCCAATGCCAACAAGAAAGAGCCTTAGAACTGAAGTAGCCACTACAAACCGAGGAGAAAGGAGAAATGAGAGCACCCAGTCCAACGACCAGGGTGGCTCAGGCAGCGCATGAGCAGGCCGGAGGTGAAACAACGCCCGAGAAAGCTTGCGGAACAGAGCAGAAGTGACATCCACCCCAAATGCAATCAGAAGAGGCTCCATCAGCAGCGCACTATATGAGGCGACAGTATTCGGCATAAGATGACGGTCCTGAAACAACCAAGAGAGAAAGGACAAAACATCTCGATCAGAAATTGAAGACAACCTACGAAGAGACAAAAAATGACGAAAGGACCGCCAGGAAATTTCATACTGCCGCCAAGACGAAACCCTCAGGAGAGACACCATCAATGAAGCCACCTGATCACCATACAAGTGATGATAAACCCATGTCAAAAAGACCGGATGCGAAGATTGGAGAAGATTGAACCAGCCACGTACTGGGCTGGACCGATCTGCTGAAAGAGGAGGAGCCTCAGGAAGACCCATGAGTTCGGACACCGAGCAAGCAATACTTGAAACCAAGGCTGGGCCGTCCAACAGAATTACCCTCCCCTGGTAAGTTTCCAAGCGAGCCAGGACCTGAAGCAACAACCGAACTAGGGGGAAGAGGTACAGGTAACCCCACCTCGACCAGTCCAGCCAAAAGGCATCAATCCTGACGGTCTCGTAGTCGAGAAACAGTGCCACATACACAGTAAGACGACTCGACCAGACCAATGCAAATAGATCCACCTCTGGGCGCTCAAACGTCTGGCAGAGCCATCGGAATGAGTCGGCATAGACCGTTTATTTTGTGGACAGGGGAATGAACTGGGACAGGCCGTCCATCAGGATGTTGGAAACCCCCTGGATATGAACCGCCAGGAGAGCCAAAACCCGAGAACTCAGCAGACAAGTCATCCGAAGCGACCAGCCCTAAAGAGCCAAGGACCATATTGAAACCCCATGGTTCAGACAATGAACCACTGGGGAGCAGTCCGAATGGTGCCAGATTGTCGATCCGCGAGCAACGTGAACCCTCTGAAGTGAAAGCCACACCGCTGCGAACTCCCGCACCTTGCTGTGGGCTCGGCGGAAGGATGGACCCAACCGACCCCTGGTCAGCCTGGTGAGCACTGGTCACAAAGCCCCAGCCGAGAAATGGTGCATCAATGAACACATTGAGTGAGGGCACGGGTAGGCACCACGGGTCAGAACCGTGAACAACCCGAAGAGGAAGGTGACGATGCAGCAGCTGATGCAAGGCTCTCGAGATCCGAACTCAGCAATTGCGAGAGTGGCAGAAGGAATGTCGTCAGAACAGCTGCCGAAGCACGATCCGACCCGATGGGTAGACCAGCACGGCAAAGTTCTGCCTCCCGCACAGCTGCTAGAACAACCGACGAGTGACCGGCTGTCCCCTCAAAACAGCCAAAGGTGGGAGAGACAAGGAAGTGGTCCGAGAGTCCTACACAAGATCCAGCCAAGTCCGAACCTGAAAGGGAACCAAATGGGACTTCCTCCAGTTCACCAAGAACCAGAACCCGGCAAGCTGGGAAAGAACCAAATCCCCTGGTGAGCAGACACGCAGACCGGCTAAAAGCCCAGACCAGCCAGTCATCGAGGTAAGCCAGAACCCAGACCCCTAAGAGACACAAACAGGTCACCACGACCCGAGTAAGGCCTGCAAAAATGCGAGGTGCTAGATTCAAGCCGAATGGAAGGCAATGGAAGCGGTAAGCTTGCTGCCCCATGACAAAACCGAGCCAGTCTCTGAACCCCGAATGAATCGGAACGTGCCAATACGCATCCCGGAGGTCCAGGGACACCATCCAAGTGCCTGGCTCCTAAAGCAGCTGAACTTGGGACAGAGTCGTTATCCGAAAGAAGGGGTAAAAACCCAGGGGTTCAGACAGGCCAAGTCCAGAATGAACTTTAGAGCTCCACAGTCCCGTTTCGGAACTGGAAACAGATGGGAAACCCACCTGAGGGACAACCCGTCGTTTTGACCACTCCCAAGCGTACCCACTCCAGGATGACCTGACAGTTCAGGGAAGGAGGCCTGTCCTACAAGCCCCGTACCCCCCAAAGGAGAAGCCACCCAACGCCACCACAGACCGGAGGAAATGACCCGAAACGCCCACGAATTATGGGACCAACCGAGAACAAACAATGCGAGCCTTCCCCTCATCGCCCCATCAACTGGAAGAACTACAAAAAGGCCGATGACCCTTACGAGAACCCGACCGACGGCTCCGTAGGAGGGGTCGGCCCCGAATCTGGCACTACTGGCTGATGATGACCAAAGGAACCCCGAGCCCTGGCACGATATGTTAATTTATTTCAACATTACCATTTATATTTAAGTTGTTCTTATGTTTGCCTTAGCACAGTTATGTTGCTCATTTAAGTAAGATAATTTATTATAAATTTGCCACTCGTCATGTTTGTGGAGGGATAGAGCTGGACGCTCTGTCACTTGGAAGTTTAGTTAGCTGTTAGCGGGTATGGAGTCAACTAATTTTGGTTAAGTGTCTGCTGTGTTGTTTCTGTATATTGCCATAGTAGAGCTTATTATCGGGAGTGCTGCCTTATTATATTAAAGTAGCTTATATTGCCATCCAGTTTATTGTGATTATATAATTGAGATACTGATTGAAATATATTATATATAATTTTTATGTACGTGATTGATTTAGTAACTGGGTGAAATAATAATAAAAATTCGTGTATGGTACTTCTGATGAGGCACCCTGGTTGAATGCATTAGAAACGGCTTATTTGGATTACCCCTAGACAACGTACATTCTTGCCCCTGTAGTTCAATGAGCGGCGTGGACCAGAGGTAACATGCCCGACGAAGGGCGAATTCCACTGCCCCGTCCCCCAGAGAAACTTGTAAAGAGGGACGTTCGTATCCTGAGGTTCTACTGTACTGTGCTGAGCATCTTTAATTATTTTCGTTTGCTGTTTGCTCTCCTATTCCTTCCCAGCTGGTGCCACCGAAGAGATAAGATTTCTACTACGAGACCAAAAACTGCTCGACGTAGTAGGATATAGTTAGGTAGTTAATGGATGGGGGATTTTGTGGTGTATATAATTGTAAAGGGTTAGAAATACATGGATGCAGAGAGTATTGCATGAAAATATAAGTTGATACATACGAGTAGTATATATAAAATGTATAGAATATAGCATACAAAGAGCATTGACTGTTGCAGATATCAGATTTAGAGAGAATGAGCAGTGATGTCACATTAAAACATACCTTCAGGCACACTCTGTTGCCAAATGCTGAGGAACTCATTGAGGTTATACTTATCTGCCGACTTTAACAGAACTTCAGCACAGAGACGACACACTTTGTCATCATGCAGCGAGTATAATGAATCACCTGTAATAAATTATAAAAAAGCAGCATTGAATGTAATGAAACTCCATTTTCTGGATGAGCCCCAGAGGCTCCCTGCAGCTATTGGACTGATATACGCAACATCAGTCTGGGGGCATTAGTCAATTGGAGTTAAGCCTACCGGTGACCACGAGCCAGAACCTGTCTTCCCCGGAGAGGCACAGGGAGCAATAACCTATGAAAACCCCCATGTGTTTGGGAGCATTCCATGTCTGCCATCGACCCGGGTTAGGCACCCAGAAAGGTAGGCATAAGAAAACAGACCCCACTTGGTAAGAAAATTACAACTGAAGACCAAACAGATTGGCAGAACTCCCCCAACCCAAAGAAACAAGCAAACTCCGGACCCCCCTTCCTGCACCGGCTACTCACGCCTCCAGTTCGGAGGCTGAGCATCAAACAAAATGGAAGCCGCGGACCGGAGGGAGGGAGGGAGGGAGGGAGCCCCCGGGGCTCACCAAAAAAATAGCGTTTCAAATAGCGAAGAGGGCATTAGCACCCAAGTGGGGTCAAAGGGGGCTCAAGCCCCCCGGGCCAACTCCTCCCCAGTCCCGGGATCTCCTAACTCGGAACCCAGGGCAGAGCAGTCCTCCATACCCTCTACCTCTGAAGAAAAGGCAGAGTCAGGGGAAAGGCTGAAAAGAAGAGGGCCTGCTGCTAGGACCTAGAAGCCACGGCAGGTGGAAATGGCTCAAATGCCTCCATCCCTAACCCAAACGGGGCAACCCCCAAAGCTGCCCGAGTCTCATTGCCAACTGTACCACGTCCCAACTCCGAAACCTTTAAACATTTGGGAGCTGGAAGCAGGAAAGGAGGAGGAGAAAGGTGGACAACAAGGGAAGGACCAGGGAGTGCAGACTGAACTTAAGTTGAAGCGACTAATGCTCCCAAGTCCAAGTCCCTATAACCAAAACCGGGGAGCCACGGGGAATCCGGGTGGGCAACCAACTTAGCGCGCTGCAGCAACCTAAACCGAGCATGCAACACAGATGCTGCCTGTACCCCTAACAGTAATGTTATCAGAATAGTACTAGAGAACAAGTTGAGAACATGACTCGCAAGACTCCAGGTCAAAGGTGTCCTTGACCCAACAGGCAGCATGATGGAGGCAAAAGTGGTGACTGTCACCCTGAGACAAGGGCACACAGCAACCTTCAAACCCGCACAAGGCGGGCTGGAACTCTGAAGATGCATCCATAGGTCCACCGAGCCCCAACAGGGTTTTCCTGGGCCTGTAGGCTGACGCTACGAGAAGCCCAAGCAAGGTGTTGCTAACTGGTTAGACCCAACGCTAACAAGGGGAATGATCACAACACTGAAATCCCTACAACGGGTACAACCACAGGGGGCCAAGCAGAGGACCACAAAAATATCATAAGTAGACCTATAGGCACTGCAGGCAGACCCCCACCAGGCACACAAAACAAAAAGGAAAAGAAAAACCCTGCAAAAGGACAACATCACCAGGGAAAACAGGAACTGGCCGCTACTGTAGGTAGGCAAGCTCTGCAACACCTTGATGCCCTAACTAGCAACAACACTGCTTCCTACCCAAGGCCAAACAAGGACCACAAAAACCCCAGCTGGCCCCAAGAGCAAGGTAAAAGCCTAGCAGCAAGAACCCCCCCCCCCCCCACACACAGAAACAGTTTCTAAACACACCAAGGAAGATAAATAACCCTGACATGCAAGGGTAGTACTCACAGGGAAGACCGCCCTAAGAGCATGCAGCCGCAGTACACTTTGGGCACACCTGGCCATCACACCATGAAACAGCAGATGACCCCCATGAAGAGAAACACTGCTTGAGACATTGAGGCCAGAGATGACAACTGCCCCAGATTGCAATACCCAACAAACTGGGGTTGAGAAGCTGGCACAGTGGGTCCAAGGCTTCCCCCTCCCCCTCTAGGGGGATGGGGGGAAAAGAGTTGTGCAGAAAAACAACGTGAAGGTGTGTGGTGACATTTGCTTGTTGCTCGTTTCCTTGGGAACTGAGGGAGTTCTACCTCTCGGTTCGCCTTTCGGTTGTATTTTTCTTACCATGAGGAGACTGTTTTGTTATGCCTACCTTTCTGGGTGCCTAACCCCAGTCAATGGCAGATAAGGTTAACCCCCAACCACAGAGGGGTTTTCCAGGGCCATTGTTCCCTACACCTTTCCGAGAGGGCCATGTTCTAGCTTGTGGTCCCTGGTAGGTAGAACTCCATTAACTATTTCCCTGGTCTAAAGATTGCACATTAGCCTGACAGCTCCAGGGAGCCAACAGGGCTCCCCCACAGAAATGATGTACTAAATAGCCCGAACCTAGCCTAACTGAGGACCCATGGATAGAAAACTGGATAGCCCGTCAATTTTGCAAGCTTATTATTGTTTATAGTACATCATATTTTGACATTTGGGATTTTTAAGTCTAAATACAATGTATTACTCGAGAGGACAAGTTAGGCAATCACCCTCAACAGGCTATCTAGTAAATATTGGACTCACCATCATCTCTTTCCTTGCCAGTTGGCTTAAGGTAATAATCAAAGCACTGCGTTATGACAGTGCGGGGCTCCAGCTCACTCAGTTCCTTGAAGGTTTCATACCGAGGAACTCCATCTAACGGCCATGACTTGGAGTCTATGAGGTTGAGGATGTGTGAGACCACTTTGAATTGATAGTCGAATTCCAAAGTCTGCCAAAATCCTGTAAAAGTAGAATTGATTATATATAAAATATTATTTTAAAGGACAAAGAGAGAGAGAGGGGTAAGGAACTGTCCAATTAGAAGCAATGTATTTATAACTACTAGTGAAAATTAAAATTGTATTTCTTAGATCAATAATATCACACACTAAAAGAAACTCAAATTTTATACACAATCGCTTGAATATATCAGTCTAAATATAAATTACTGTATACATAATCTATATAGCCAATAAATAATCTTGACATAATCTCACCATATAAATGATAAGCTTCCAGCTCCTGCAAGGCCTTGTCCAGCTCCTCCTCACTACACTGCACTCGATCCAAGAGATCACTCAGGGTGTACCTGCAAAATGAGGAACCTTTGCACTTCCATGCACAATATTCAAAGGTGACAATACTGATGGGAGATGACGGGCGGCAAACACTCCCTCCTGAAACGTCTGTTCATTCTCAATTTTTCATTACTCAATTCATATCCCACCAACAAATTTCTTAGCAAACGACGACATTTTTAAGAGAAAATTAGATGGTTTTCTTCAAGAAGTGCCAGACCAACTGAGCTGTGGTGGATATGTGGGCCTGCGGGTCATTCCAAGCAACAGCCTGGTGTACCAAGCTTGGGGAGTACAAGAACTCCCAGAACCCCATCCAGCAAGTATCCAGCAGGTATGACTTATGAAATTTGTATCTAAAGGCAATAAATATTGTGATAAAATTAATATAGAAATTATAATTTGAAAATCTAAAATTGACCCATTGATGTGGGTTTGGAAGAGGCAAGGCAATGTGGTAGAAGCTGCTGCTAATAGTATCTGATGAAAAGGTCTGTGATTTACATTGCTAGACTATGTAACGTTGTGGCTGACAACCTGGTTGACCAGACCATCAAACTAGAAGCCTGGTCAGAGACTTGGTTGCACGAACACTGATCCTTGGAACAAGCTTGAGATAACCTCAAGGTAGGCTATAAAGGCACAAACTATGAATATAAATAAATTGCACATCAAAACAATATCTGAAAGGCAGCGTGACAACAGATTCATATAACTTTTGACTGGGCCTTGAAGAGAGCTGTGCACAGGTTGGACAATATCTGATGTCCAATAACTACAATCTATACATACCATCATCTATGCCATCAATACCATATTTATATGACATCTGCACTAAGCATCATTCACACCAAGTACTATCAACACTTGCACCAAATATCACCCGCACCAACATTCTCCCCCCCCCCTCCACCACCATCACTCTCATCAACTGATATCCACACTAGCCATCACATACAGCTCTCAGATCAAGACTCACAACTTGAAGAGATCAAAAGGCTGAGAGCCTCTTCAAAATAAAGATGGGATTCTCCCAGGAGAATGTAACTGCCAGATGATAATCAATGCATCAAAGTCCAAGCTCAATGCATTACAGCTGCTTGCCATGACTAGTTCCAACAGAGTTGTCATGCACGGACTGCAGGAGAAAGTAAAGGCAGCCACCAGAGTTAAATTAATACATATGGCACACCTGAATATTGCACCAGTGCACATCCTGCCATCCACAAAAGTGATCAACATTAGGTAAACAGAAAATATGATTAAAAGGCCTAGGCCAAGTCACTCACACACCTCCTCAAAAATGTCATAGATGGAAGCCTGGGTACCTGGGCAGAAATGCTCAAACCATCCCTAGCCAAAATCTTTCAGGATGCCTAAACATAATGAAACATCTTCATCAATGAACATAATGAAACATCATCTTCCGATGGGCCACTCAGTAGCTCCCTCTAGCTATAGAACTGCAGCTGCCAAGCCTCAAGAGGCCTGAGGCCAGAGACTCACCCGATCCTACTGGGAACCAAGACCAGAATCTGATTTTCTCTATGAAGCATTGGGAACATCAACCCAAAACCATGAAAAAATCCCACCAGAAAGTATAAGTGCACCAAAACAAGCAACTGTTTGAAGAAAATCAGTTACTGGGGAAATTAAGACAAAGAATCATAGTTGTTGATTAATTAAATAGTCGCACTTCTATGTACCTGACTGCTGATGGATGATAGCCAAGGTAACAACAACTGACACTCATTTACATGCAGACTGAACAGACACTTACCTCAATACAACGTAGAAAGAGGTAATATGGCGGTAATGGAGATCTACTGAGTGGCCCACTTGAAAAGTGTGTTAAGTCACACCTGTCAGATTGCATGAACATGTCCAAGCAGGCAGTGGGATCTTTCATGAGGAAGCAGCCAAATATGAGCCCTCATAAAAACCAGGTGCTACGCACATCTATCTACTCATCACTCTTTTTCAAACTATCCTTAGATACAGTACTTACCTGTATAAACCAACCACTCTTTCTTCAAAAGTGAATGGAACACAAGGTCTCCAATGAAAACAAGAAACAGTGTGCTTTTGTAAACTCAACTACAAACATACCTCTGGCCTTCACATTCCTGAGCGTGACTCTGCACTCCGGAGAAAGGCGCCTCTCCCAGCAATGTACGCAGTTTGTGAATACGGGGTTTGCACTGTCTTAATTCCAAGTAGGTATAGTGGATGCCACACACCTGTAATAGAAAAGCTATTGTAATCTAAACAAAATGTCTCTACTTTTTAAAATTAATGTGGCATTGATGAGAAACTGCTGGCAATTGCGGATAATTTTAGCACTTTTCAATTCATTCTCTCTCTCTGAAAACCATCTGTTATTGCTATGATTTTCCTTAACATAAGGAAAATCTGCCGACCGGGTTTTCCCTCCGGTCGGCGGTTTTTCGGATATTTTGACATCCAGCCTCAGAACTGACGGGTGGGTAGCTGGCGTGGGGGTTCTGGGGCTCCCCCTTACCCCTCCCAGGGAGGGGGGAGCTGCGCGGACAGCGGGGCGGCAACATGTGATGTCATGCTCGTTTGCTCGTTTCTTTTAGGGGCGTTCTATCCACTTGTTCGGCTTTTGGTAGCAATATTTTCACCAGAATAGGGGTTTGTTTTGGGATGCTTACCTTTCCGGGTGCCTGACCCAGTCGATGGCAGACATGGAATGCTTCCAACCACACAGGGGTGTCTATAGGCCATTGCTCCCCATGCTTTTCTGAGGGGGGGAGGGGGCCAGGTTCTGGCTCGTGGTCCTCAGTAGGCCCACAGAACTCCATACACATGACTGATGCCAAACTCTGACATTAACATATCAGCCTAGTAAGCTCCAGGGAGCTGAAGGGGCTCCCCCCAGAAAGTTTGCTCTATTTGATTGAAGACCCCACTTGTCTTCTTACATTTTGTGCTTAGACGGAAATTCTCTCTTTCACAACTCTTGTAGACAAAGGCAGTGAATGGCCTCTTTCTGGACATATATAGTTTCTGCCATATTCACAGCTGCAGGTGTGACCAATTCTGCACCAACAGTATGTGGTTTCTTGCTTCAGGTAATCAACTAGACCACTCCAAATCTTACTGCTGAATGTTGATCAAATGTACCTCTCAATTTGAGTTCCAATTTCTGCCTTTTAAGATCCCTTTCCAAATTCTCAAAGTAGTCCCACTGTTTGGAAAATGGATCCAATACAAATTTTCCAATTGTTTCTTTAACAGATTCTTTTTGAAAGACTCTGCAGTCAGCACTTTTAAACAGGCAATACTTTGTGGTTACATTTTTCCATCGTCTTTTAATTCCGAGCCTATAATTGAGAAACTCTGCTAGATATTTTTGTTTATCGTTTGATGCCATCTGAAGGGAAAAGTGAAAAGGAAAAAGTTTCCTCTAAGGCTCCGGGGAAATCAAAAACCAATCAGGGCAAAAAGGTGCCAGCTACAGGACTCCCCAGAAATAGAAGGCACTGGGGGTTAGCCAAGATCCATGACAGACAAATGAGACAGAAAAAATCTCTCCACAGAGTTATCTGTAGCCATGAAACTTCCCCAAGAAACAGAAGACAGTGGACTAACTACCTTTGCTTTCAAAGTGGAACGGGCAGACCACAAAGAAGGCCCAAACGCACCTATGTATCATCACCCCACAAAATGTTTCAGAACTGGGAGCAAAGTGGGAGGCCGCCACAAGCCCACCGAACAACACCAGCCAAGGAGATGGTGGAGAAAATTTGGAGCATGTAGAAAACATCAACTGCTCCAATACCAGATCCTGAAAGACAAAGGGGCTCACCCTCAGGCAACTACTGTACTTTGACATTAAGCTGCAACCTGCATATACAGAAAAACCTGGCCCATAAAATGGCAATCTCCTGATAAGCCGAGTCCCGAGGAGGCTCGGCTAAAACAGAGATCAAATGACCCACAAACACTGCAGGCCTCAGAATGGAACGTATCCCCCACCCAACAGGCGGCATGACAGAGGCAATAAGAAAGGCAATTGGCATACATCAAAACTGAGACACATCTAAAGAGACGGAACCCATGAGGAAAACACACATTACAACCCAAGGTACTGTATAGCAAAGAGTCAAAGCTGTTATACTGTAACATATGCATTTTCCCAAAATACTATGATGCAATGTACAATATTTTTGAGAAAACAAACTGAGGACTCACCTGACGGCTATGTAGGACTCGCTCCCCAGCTTCCTCTTCCTCAGGCAAAGACAACTCGGGTACTAATACCATAGAATTTGACGTTTCTGCCAGTCGCACCTAAAATAATAAGTAACAAATTATTGTTTAAAAACTCAGCCTTGAATGTAATGAAATGCTAGTTTCTAGGTGAGCCCCGATGGCACTACTATACACTGAGATGGTTACCATTTACTAGATCGCATCAACCATGGAGTTCTATAGGTCTACCGGGAACCAGTGCCAGAACCTGGTCCCCCCATCCCTCACAGAGGCACAGGGAGTGGTGATATTTATTTTTTGCCACCTCACCTAGGAAAGCAGTCAACGTCAGCGAGTCAAAATAAACCACTGCTGGCTTCAAAAAGAGACTGAAGCCCTGAAACCCACAAAAAGATCTCCCACCCTTCCCCCATCTATATAAACAAATAATTGAATTCTCTCAGAACTAGCATAAGCTTGTTTGCCCCCACCTCCCCCCACTCATTTGAGCGGTGAGGGGAGGTAACTCACCACCAACACACAAAGATGAGTTATGACAACTCCAGGTTGCATTCCTTTTGACTATGTTGTGGCCTAGTTGTCAGGAGCATGTGTGCCTGAGAATACTCAGCGTATACGTTTGAACCCTTATCACGGCTCCTACAGATCTTCTCATTGATCCATCACATTAGTGTGATTGCTCTGTATACTGAAAGAGGAGCTTCAGAGGTAGAACATTCCTTGATCATGACAGAGCCAGAGTGCAAGGGGTGGGGTGGGGGGAGGGGAGTTGTGTGAAACCCTGGTTTGACTTTTGTGGAAGCCTCAGGAATTCTCGTTGCTCCAGTAGAACCCCAGGTTGCAATCCTTTTCCATGTCATGGCCTAGTTGTCTTAGGGGTGTGCCTAGGAATACTCACTGCATACAATTGAACCATCCTCATGGCTCCTACAAATTTTCTCATTAGTTTTATTATTGTAACTTTGATGCAACATTGTCTCAGCATAGTGGTTATGTTATGAGTGCAAGATGAACAGCTGAAAAACACTTTGGAACACCAAAATCCCCCACAGGAGTTTCAATAGGAGCCAATCCCATTAAGGGGGGTTGGGGGAGGGGGGGTGGCAATGGGACTGATCCCAATTTGCCTATGGCAGTCCCCCATTACCCACCTGTCCTGCTGAAAAGTTGGGAGTGGCTAGCCTCAGATATCTAGCCTCCAACCTTAGACAGACAGGTATTTTCTTTTATAGATATACAGTACTTATATATATATATATACAAACACAAAGAATCTCATACACTGCAAAATACACACTTCGTAAGTTTTATCTTTGGTGCACAGGACTGCTCCATCGTCTGGGTCACCTCGCAACACAAATCTGAAACAATAATAATATTAGTAATAATAACAATAATAATAATAATAATAATAATAATAATATAATAATAATAATAATAATAATAATAATAATAATAATACTGTAATAATAACAATGATAATTTATTTATACAAAAACATATTATGGGGATTGATTTCAGAGTTCACATAGTAAAGTAATATTTAAGTTTAATATAAAGCCACTAATCATGCATAGCAAGTGTGGATAAACCTTAAAATGACAAAAGAACAATCAATTACGACAGAAGATTCACAGCATCTGCTCTGTGGGATTTGACGCTTTTTACTTTTACACAACACAAAATAATACTTATCTGGGGGGAAGCCCCTATGGCTCTCCGGAGCTAACTGAGCTGATATGAATGTATTAGACCCTGGCATCAATCAATGTGCATGGAGTTCTAGGCCTACCGGGGACCATAAGCCAGAACCTGGCCCCCTCAGAGAGGCACGAGGAGCAATGGCCTCTAGAAATCCCTGTGTGGTTGGAAGCATTCTACGTCTGCCATCGACTGGGTCAGGCACCCAGGAAGGTAAGCACCCTAAAACAAATCTCTATTCTGGTTAAAATATTGCTACTGAATGCCAAACTAGTGGACAGAGCTCCCCAAATAAAAACGAGCATGCTGTCACCACATCACCGCCCCGCTGTCTGCACAACCCTCCGCCCTTCCCGGGAGGAGAAAAGGGGAGCCCCAAACCCCCTCCCCACTCCGGGTTATCCACCCTGCAGTTCTGTGGCTGATGTGAACTGGCAAGGTCGTGCACCTCTGGCTCCTGTTTTTCCAGTTCTGTGCCTTGGGGTGTGATACTGTTTAAGTGGTGGTGCGCAAGCCAGGAGTTATTTCACAAGTACTCGGGCTGCATGCACCTAGGGTTCCCTTCCTTAGGTGCCCTGTAAGTACTGCCCTTGGTACTTGGGGCCACCTTCCACAAGTCACCTTGGGGTCTACTTCTGCAAGGTCTTTTGCAGCTCGGTGATTGACCGCCCTTGGAGTCAGCTGGGAGTGTTTCATGCACAACTGTTGGCCTCTGGGTAGGGGGTAGTTTCGTCACTAGTTGGGGCGCAGGGTACTGTGCAGCTAGTTATCACCTCTCACAGCGGCCAGCTCTGTTCCGCCTGAATACATTGTCCTCTTGCGGGGTTTTTCTTTTGTTTTTGTTTTCCTTCCTGGTGGGGGGTCTGCCCCTTGGTTTTGGTTACATCCATTATATCTTGGTGGTCCTCCACTAGGCCCCCATGAGTATACGCTCCTGGGGGTTCAGCTTTAGCAGTTTGATTGGTAACTTAGAGCGCCGGTTAGCAGTACCCTGCCTGAGCTTCCCTTAGCGAGATTATGCGACTAACGGTCCCTGGGAAATCCGGGGGGGGGGGGGCTCTTTGATCTGATGGATGCGACCTGTTGTTGTTTTAGATTCAGTTACTTGGAACAAAATGGTCTAAGTAGCACAGGCTATGGTAAGCCCGTAGTGGACTTACCTGGCACAGGAGCGGGGCTGTAACTGTGATGTGTGAATGTGTTTTATGAATATGGGAATGTGAATATATCAATATAAGACAAGAGGGAAAGTGAGGTGAAAGAAGTATAGAAGTATGAATAAAGGAAACTACAGAAGGCCTATTAGCCCATATGAGGCACCTCCTTTCACAAAATGGGGAATAGCTAAATGAAGCAGAAAAAGGAAAAGAAACACAAAATAGAGCAAATGCTAAATAAGAAAGAGCACCAAACTTGAGACACAAAAAGATAGGAACATACAGAGTTAAGAGGAGAGCACAGAGGGGCAGAAATCTAAGTCAGAACTCACTTGTTAAGAAGATTAAAAGATTTAACTATGCACTGAGAAAAGCAAGAGTTAACAGCAACAAAGCTAAAACTAAGGTCATGTTAGTTGGTCATGTTATGTATGAGAGCCAGTTCAATGAGACGGTATCGATGGAGAGTAGAGGCAGGAGGATTATTTTGGAAGACCAATCTATAGGATGACTGGATGCCCGAACATGAGAGAAGAGACCATTGTCTGTCAGCTAGTTCAACACTTCTTTCGTGTTTTCAAATGTCTGTCATTAAGATTGTGACCAGTGTCAACAAAATATTGGAGAGGACAAGGGGAGCAGGAGATCGAATAAAACACCAGCAGCATTGGAGGCAGAATTAGCAGTTTGAACCAGATTGTTACAAAGTGTGTTGTTTTGTAGGAAGACAAATTTTATATCAAGAGGACAAAGGGTATTTGCGAGATTTTAAAGTTCAGATATGGATGGAAGGCAAAGCACAGGGTTTCTAGTGTTGGAACCCAGGATAAGGATGAAAGAAAATTCTTGTAGCATGAGATTTGGCGCAGATGCCTTTCATTGGTTCTGAGGATCAATGTTCCCTAAGGTCAGGCCTCCTAGTTGGTGGTTTGGTCAACCAGGCTCTTAGGAGCAGATGCTAACATCCTGACGGATGAATCAACTTGGTCAATCAGAAATCCTTTGGAGGTGTTTGTCAAGTTCTCTTTTGAACACCGTGAGAGGTCAGCTAGTTATGTCCCTTGTGTTTAGAGGAAGTGTATTGAAAAGTTTTAAGCCCTCAATGTTGATAGTTGCTAAAATTTATAGAAAAGCTAAGGTAAGACAATAACTTGTAAAGAAGATAAATTTCTGAATCAAGAAACTAATTATTAAAGATGCATAAGACCTGGAGGTAAAGGGAAATGAGGATACTATTTTTAACAGAAAGTGGGAGGTAAGTCCACTTTCGACAAGTTTGACAAATTCGTCGACCCGCGGCCTGGTCGATGACCGGGCCGCAGGGACACTAAGCCCCGAAAACACCTCAAGGTAACCTTAAGGTAAGGTAAGTTAAGAAATTACTACATAGGCTTGCAGTAGATAAAGATCACCGTAGTGATCAACAACTTGGCACATGCCATAACTTCCAACACTGGCATATTTTAGTTAAATAAAGTGTGTCTTCTTTCAATACATATTAAAGTTTCTCTATAAAAGTCAATAATGTATTGTTAATTGTTATTCCATTGCCAATAAATTTCTTAAGTGTAAATGACTTGACTTGATTAGTGACTTTGGAGTATGGTCAAATCAAATCATACACAAGAAGCTTTGACAAAGCTCGTTTTATGAATGTCAAATTTTATATCTTGTTAGATTAGCATGTTAAATTGGTCTGGGTTAGTTCCACATTTTCTCTTTCCTGTTCCAATTAATCTTGATATTTCTGGAACAAATGTATGTAGATGTTTTCAGAGGCAATCTGAGAAATTCCTACAAGATATGCTAAATAAGCCAGGATGTAATGAATACATGGGCCCGCAGGCCCATATATTCATTACAAGCAACAGCCTCACTGATCAGGTTATAAGAAGAATTCTTGAAATCATCTATAGGTAAAAATGACAGGTAAGAGTGTGTCACTCACTTGTCATCTTTCTTGATAGTCTCGAGCAGTGTTTGATCTACCTCCATGAGAACCGTTTCACTACTGTCCAGCCCGAAGTCCTCCGTAAACTCCAACATCTGGGTCACCGGAAGCAACTCGTCTTCAGTCAACTTGGCATGATGGATCAGCTTCTTCACATCCTCTAGTGTTCTAAAATGTAAAACAATTGATAAATTACAAAATCGTAAGAATGTAGCTACCTAGAGTACATTCAATAATAAATTTTGCAACCAAACATAACCCAACCCAAACTATCCTAATTATACCTTACCTACGACAAGTTTAAAGGTTTGCTAACTTGCATTAAGGCCAAACAGATTAAGTACTGAATTATCTAAATTATGGATTTGTCTAGAAAAGTTGATTTACAGTGATTACTTAAATTCCTAATGCAACCCTTTCTATTTACAGCAAAATTTCAGCCACAAGCTGTGGTCAATTACCAATTCTTACATTCAAGAATTCTGTAAAATACTTTTGCATTCATTTCCAGATATGCTCACTCATGTAGCAGCAGAATTCTTTGAAAAATTATGATCCAGTGCTTAGTTATTATATTTGAATGTCACTTTGTACATAAATGTACACTCTGTTCATAAGTGTATGCTTTGTACACAAGTGTACACTTTTTAGTTCAGTTCATTTATTATGCACCCCATACCCATCTTGTTTTTGGTAGTGTTAAGGGTTACAGAGGCACAAAATAGGCTCAGGGACTGAACCCTACAATTCATTTAGCTAAGCAAGTTACAGTCTTGATGAACTAGTTACAAAATTCAATACACATCGTCACATCAACAATGAGTATCCACCCCCCCACCCCCACCATCCAGTGGGCAGCAATAGATAGGTTACAGTCACTTAGTTATTACCTACAGTTAGCAAACTGGGGATATTTGGCTAAGATTTCTGGCAGCAGATCATATTGAATCAAATATTTACAAATCACTTGAACATTTATTATAGAATTGTTTCTGAATTCACGTATCTTTTTGCACTCCAGGGTGTGCGAATTATTTAGTTGACACAGTTTACATTTGGTCAGGTCTACATCAGCAGGTAATGGAGACTCCCAGAGATACTTGTAACCAAGTCTAAACCAAGCAGTAATAACATCTAGGAGTCTGCTGGTTTTATTGGATGAACCATAGATGTGTGGCTCTTGCATGATAGTATGATGATAGCTGGAATTACTGGTGTTGATTTCACTTTATAAATGTATGCTTTGTACACAAGAATCTTCACACATTGATATTAAATCCTATTTACCCTTACCATCTTAATCCAAACTAGCCTAATTCAAACTGATCTAACCTAAGCTAACAAACACCTCCAAAGGATACCTGATCAACCAGGCTGTGACTCATACGTCAGGCTGCGAGCAGCCGCGTCTAACAGCCTGGTTGATCAGTCCAGCAACCAGGAGGCCTGGTCGACGACCGGGCCGCGGGGACGCTAAGCCCCGGAAGCACCTCAAGGTAACCTCAAGGTAAGGTAGCTAATCCAACACAGCCTAAGAACACACGTCCAGCCAGGATAGCTTATTTTATTTTATTTGATATTTATATATATACAAGAGTTGTTACATTCTTGTACAAGCACTAGCATGCATAGTGTTTCGGGCAAGTACTTAATCCTAATTTTTTTCCTCGGAATATGGCCCACCAAATCGTTTAACAACCAGGTAACTGACTGTAGTAACTGACAGATAGTTCCTGTCCAAACACTTACTATGGACAGTCTATTTAATAAAAGGTGGATGGGAAGAGGAAATATACATCATTAAAATACTATTCCTTACATTGGGAAATGGCCATCAAATACATCAAAATAATTGTCTTCACTTAAAAATTTAAATTCAAAATTGTCGTCAAAAAATTACTCAAATTTGCAAATGACAGGAAACATGTAGAGTACAGACCTTCCTATACAAGCCATCTCTCCTGGATCTGACCTTCGACCTCTTGACTCTTCTTATGAGCAGCGCCTGTGAGTTTTAGGCCTACCCTTATAGGCTCTAAGTATTCCCCTCTCCTTCTTCAGAGTCCAGTTTTACCGTCGGGATCGTCTGCGTCTCACTCTTGGTGTTCTTAGACTGCAATTTTAACACTTTCTAATAAGGTTTTCATTAATAAACTAGCTTTGAATAAACATTCTTTACTTTACTCTAAAATGTAAACAAAGTGAATTCGCGGTAAATTTAGGCAGAAGAGAATTTGTAAATAATTAAAAATATACGAAACTGGCAACTGTTCTGACAATTCCGCCGACGACCAACAGATGGCGGGAAGACACCACAGGCTGATCTCTACACTAGAATTTATTAATTAATTAATTAATTAATTTATTTATTTATTTATATATATATAAGAAGGTACATTCGGATTGTGAGGATACATAGCATAGTATTTACAATCTTGTAAAGCCACTAGTACGCGCAGCGTTTCGGGCAGGTCCTTAATCTAAGAAAATTTTAAGTAGGTAAATACTTGCAAATTTTATAAAAATGATAACAGTTACATAGCAAGAAAAAAATAAAAAATGAGAAAAAATTGTAGGTATATTAAAGCACATAGGTAGCTCAGAGTGATTGCTATGATTGCAATTCCACTGACGTCAATGAAATAATCCTTTCCCTTAAAACACAAGTCTAGTGCCCTTGAGGAGATACCAACTTTAATTTACAAAAAAGCCTCCATAACTTTACCCCCTGTTATTGCATTGCTCTTCAACAAGTCACTTGAACTCCAAACCTTTCCAGATATCCTAAAAAAAGCGAGTTACCCTTCTACACAAATGTGGTCATCTCACAGATGTTAACAACTACAGACCTATATCAATCCTGCCTAACTTGTCAAAAAATTTTGAAAAACTAATCTACAAGCAGCTTTACTCTTATCTAGCCAAACACAATATACTTAGCTCTTGCCAATATGGCTTCAGACCCAAAAAAAAAAGCACTAACGATGCACTTATTAGTATGCTTAACTTGATTCATACAGCTCTTGATAAAAATGAGTTCCCTGTTGGGTTATTTGTGGGTAATTTCCCTGTGGGGTTATTTGTGGACCTGCGTAAGGCTTTTGACACTGTCAACCACCAAAACCTTCTTCTTAAATTACATCATTATGGAGTCAGAGGACACTCCCTGCAATACCTCAAATCCTACCTTACTGACAGGCTCCAGTATGTTTCTGTGAATAATTCAATTTCTCCCACCCTACCCATCAACACTGGTGTTCCTCAGGGCAGCATACTTGGCCCTCTCTTCTTTCTCATCTACATTAATGACCTTCCAAATGCCTCCCAACACCTCAAACCAATTCTATTTGCTGACGACACAACCTTCATTTACTCCAGTCCTGACCCCATTGCTCTAAATGCCACAGTAAATACTGAGCTAAATAAAGTTCATCTTTGGCTAACTGCCAACAAACTCACCCTTAACATTGACAAAACTTTCTATATTCTGTTTGGCAATAAATCCTCTAATCAAATAAATCTCAAAATAAACAATACCCAAATTTGTAACAAATTTGTAACAAATTCTCACAGATAACTGTCCACAGTCTCTGTACCTAACGCCTGCAAATTCCATTGATGTTAATGAGATAATCTTTTCCCTTAAAACCAAGTCTGGTGCCCTTGAGGAGATACCAACTTTAATTTACAAAAAAGCCTCCAGATCTTTAGCCCCTGCTATTGCATTGCTCTTCAACAAGTCACTTCAACAAACTACAGTCTCCGTGGTACGTGTAGTGGTAATTAAGACACTCGCCTGGCGTTCCGCGAGCGCTTTGTCATGGGTTCGTATCCTGGCCGGGGAGGATTTACTGGGCGCAAATCCTTAACTGTAGCCTCTGTTTAACTCAACAGTAAAATGTGTACTTGGTTGTAACAACGATTCTTCGCGGCGGGGATCGTATTCCAGGGACCTGCCCGAAACGCTACGCGTATTAATGGCTGTACAAGAAAAAAAATGTGTAAATATTTCATTCAAAATGATCTGCTATCAGAAATTTTAGCCAAATATCCCCAGTTTGCTAACTGTAGGTAGTAACTAAGTGACTGTAACCTATCCACCGCTGCTCACTGGATGGGGGGAGGGGGGGGGGGCGGTGTGCAGGACAAACATACCATTTTTTTTTTTTTTTTTTTTTTTTTTTTTGAGATATATACAAGAGTTGTTACATTCTTGTAACACTAACAATTGTGACACTAGCTCTCCACATATGTCAGTTGCTTAATTTAGAAACTGTACTTGTGGTCGATCTCGAACCCATTGTTGATGTGACGACTTATACTGAATTTTATAACTAGCTCATCAAGATTGTAACTTGCTTAGCTAAATGAATTGTGGGGTTCAGTCCCTGAGCCCATTATGTGCCTCTGTAACCCTTTCCACTACCGCCCACAAGATGGGTATGGGGTGCATAATAAATAAACTAACCTAACTAAACTTGTACAGCCACTAGCACGCATAGCGTTTGGGGCAGGTCCATAATCCTAATTTTCCCCAGAATACGACCCGTTAAATTGTTTAACAACCAGGTACCCATTTTACTGTTGGGTGAACAGGGGCGTTACAGTTAAGGATTTGTACCCAGTAAATCCTCCCCGGCCAAGATACGAACCCAGGCCAAAGCGCTCACGAAATGCCAGGCGGGTGTGTTACCTCTTCTCCATGCACGGCGACTGCTTATATTATGCAGAATCTGTCTCCTGAAGCCTAAATCAAAAGGATATCATCAGCGGCGTATGCGAGGCTGGCTAACATCAGAACGGCCTTTAGAAATTTGTGCAAGGAATCGTTTAGAACCTTGTATACCACATATGCCAGACTAATCCAGTAGTATGCAGCTCCAGCATGTAGTCCATACCAAACTGGCAGCTAGGGACTTAATATATTGAATGTTACAAGGTAGGCTCAGTAGAGCTATTTGTAAATGATTTTTTCAAATATTTTTGATAGTACTGCATTGGTAGATTTGATATTGTTTTGTAATTGTTTATGTGAGCTGTCTCGCCTCTTCCTGGTGTTACTCGTGTTATATTAAATATACCAGGGGGGGGGGGGGGGAAGTATGACACTAGAGAGTTGTTGACCAGCAGAGCTACGGGTGGTGCAAGGGCATGAACGGCACTCTTTAAATTTTTAAATTTTGCCCCGAGGGGCGAGTTTATTGGGCAGCGCCACTCATCCTGTGAGTGGAACTCTTGTATACCTTAGATGGTTAGGTTAGGTTAGGTTAGCAATTTCACTAATGTTCCCAGCTTTGGTTTTAAGATTAATATAGTTGCTCCAAATTCTCAGAAGTTTCATTGCAGGTAATTATATGTGCCTGTTAATATCACAAAACTTGTCCCTAATTCAAGATTCCAAGAACTTCTGCATTAATTTTATGTGCACTGAAAGGGAACTTAAGATATACTGGTGGCAGGGGTGGCGAGCTTATCCCCCTACCTAGAGTTAATCAATCATGCCCTCTGCTTTTTTTTTTTTTTTTTTTCCCCTCTGCTTGTGTCAGCACAAGCGCTGAATGATGTTACCTCGGGTATTCACCTAGTTGTGCTTTTTCGCTCGTATGCGTTACATAAGGCCCAAAAAAGTGTCGTACTAGAAAATGAAAGCGGCTCGCGAAAGTGACGTACTGTCCCGCTTTCTGTTTTGGGTCCTCTGGTAGGTTAGGGGAGGACACTTTAAATTGACCGTTTTCTTGACGTTGTGAAACCTTAGGAGGCCGGGCTGCACGTGTTGAGTGAGAGAGGCGTCCTGTATTAGCTCAGGTGATTGTTCTTCTTCCAATTGTGATGTAAGGTTCACCCAACTTACTGTCTCGTAGTTAAAGTCCCCCATTATAAGAACAAGGGCTTCGGCGACACACATACTGATCACATTATGCAGACCAGCAGCTTCCTCTGCTGCTGCTGCTGCTGCTGCTGCTGCGTGTCTGCTGCTGCTGCTGCTGCTGCTGCAGCTACTGCAGCTGTGTCTGCCTTCTCCCATACTCCCACTCTCTGCAACCATCTTCAACCAGTATATTGCACCGTACAGATCCTGTTGATCCCATTTTAATTCCTCGTTGCTGGTTGCAGTCAAGGAAACTTAAACAGGCACAGAAGTCTGCAACGAGAAGCTTAGTAGAGAAGTTCGTAGTATTGGGTGAAGAAAAGATTGGATAGCGAGTTGAATACCCCGACCTTGACTGTAGTGCAGCGGACGAGTTATTACTTCATGGGGAATGTTAATCATCCCGGGAATTTTGACGTCTGTGCGCTTATTATTCACCCCATACCCATCCTGTGGGCGGTAGTGGACCCCATACCCATCCTGTGGGTGGTAGTGGACCCCATACCCATCCTGTGGGCGGTAGTGGACCCCATACCCATCCTGTGGGTGGTAGTGGACCCCATACCCATCCTGTGGGCGGTAGTGGACCCCATACCCATCCTGTGGGTGGTAGTGAACCCCATACCCATCCTGTGGGTGGTAGTGGACCCCATACCCATCCTGTGGGTGGTAGTGGACCCCATACCCATCCTGTGGGCGGTAGTTGACCCCATACCCATCCTGTGGGCGGTAGTGGACCCCTTACCCATCCGGTGAGCGGTATAGTGGACCCCATACCCATCGGATGGGAGGTATAGTGGACCCCATACCCATCCTATAATGGATGCCACCCCCATACCCATCCTATGCGACCAGTGCTTCATTTCTGTATTTCTGAAGTTCATGGTGCAAGAGCCGGCAAGGAGAAGAACATGTACAGTACGCAAAGGAATTCGCCAAATTATTTTGAATAGCAATTATAAAAATACAGCAATACAGAATATAGGTCATTGTTATTGCATCCTGCTTCTCCCATCTCTTAGAAAATGTATTATTAAGAATCACAGAAGCGTATTATTACAAACTCCCTAAAACTCTAGGGAAATCACATCATATATTTCACACTTAATCCCATGAAAATCGCCTGGGGGGGGTCTTTATAATTGCTAATATTTCCGAAACCATTTAATTTAGCCCTACCCCGACCAGCCTATGTCGTCCCCGTACCCCAGACCATTCACCCATAAATTTCAGCGAGGCTAATATGAAAATACATGACCCGGAAGGAGAAGTTTTTTTTCTACCACAGACGTGGCCACACATTTACAATGCTAACCAGCTTATATATACATTTTCTTCTTCAGAGAAGTGAAAAAAATAAATCACATGAGCATTTTTCGGGTTAAGACATCTTTAAAAGTCTTGATGAAGTGTTGATCGATACTAAAGTTCTAAGTAATTGATTGTTTCAATTATTCAACTCGAGGCTGTAAGACTCATCTCCTTTGCTCTAGATGGACGTTGGTGGTAGAGTACAGGACGTGAGTCTTTGTTTCACAACTCAGTTTCACGACACAGTTTCACAACTCAGTTTCACAGCTCAGTTTCACAACACAGTTTCACAACTCAGTTACACAGCTCAGTTTCACAACACAGTTTCACAGTTTCACATTAGGGGTCTACACTTGAAACAACTTTTTTAGTCTCGAAAACATTAATAATAACAGCAATAGTGAAATAAATATTGAGTATAATTGTCATGTATTATATAGCACAAAGTAGCAATGCTGATAAATACCTATGATTGATCAAATTAAAAAAAGACAACAGCGCGATGCGAAGGATGCATAAATATCCCAGGAAGAACACGGCTATTAAATACAATTAGCACATGTGACAATGTTGTTAAGGTAGTGGTAATGACTTGATTGTTTTCTCGGAGTGGGGGAAGAGGGGAGGGGGGGAGGTGTTGTTGGAGCCTGTTTGGCTTTGTTGATCTACGCTCTGGCGTTGTTAAACTTGCTCTGCTGCTCTTCGGTTATCCTACACTAGGATAGTTGCTGCTATCTCTGGGTTTGACACCTCTCTACGGCCAGTGCTTCAGTCCTCGCACACACGAGACTTCTAACTCTTCTCAAATAGAATTGTTTGAACCTTCCCACACTCCCATCCCACTTGTTTGAACTTTCCCACACTCCCACCCACTAGTTTGAACCTTCCCACACTCCCATCCCACTTGTTTGAACTTTCCTACACTCCCTCCCACTTGTTTGAACCTTCCCACACTCCCACCCACTAGTTTGAACCTTCCCACACTCCCATCCCACTTGTTTGAACTTTCCCACACTCCCATCCCACTTGTTTGAACTTTCCCACACTCCCATCCCACTTGTTTGAACTTTCCTACACTCCCACCCACTTGTTTGAACCTTCCCACACTCCCACCCACTTGTTTGAACTTTCCCACACACCCATCCCACTTGTTTGAACTTTCCCACACACCCATCCCACTCGTTTGAACCTTCCCACACTCCCTCCCACTAGTTTGAACCTTCCCACACTCCCATCCCACTAGTTTGAACCTTCCCACACTCCCATCCCACTCGTGTGAACCTTCCCACACTCCCTCCCACTAGTTTGAACCTTCCCACACTCCCACCCACTAGCTTGAACCTTCCCACACTCCCACCCACTTGTTTGAACCTTCCCACACTCCCTCCCACTTGTTTGAACCTTCCCACACTCCCTCCCACTTGTTTGAACTTTCCCACACTCCCTCCCACTTGTTTGAACCTTCCCACACTCCCACCCACTTGTTTGAACTCTCCCACACTCCCATCCCACTAGTTTGAACCTTCCCACACTCCCTCCCACTTGTTTGAACCTTCCCACACTCCCACCCACTTGTTTGAACCTTCCCACACTCCCACCCACTTGTTTGAACTCTCCCACACTCCCATCCCACTAGTTTGAACCTTCCCACACTCCCACCCACTTGTTTGAACTTTCCTACACTCCCTCCCACTAGTTTGAACCTTCCCACACTCCCACCCACTTGTTTGAACTTTCCTACACTCCCTCCCACTTGTTTGAACCTTCCCACACTCCCATCCCACTTGTTTGAACTTTCCTACACTCCCTCCCACTTGTTTGAACCTTCCCACACTCCCACCCACTTGTTTGAACTTTCCTACACTCCCTCCCACTTGTTTGAACCTTCCCACACTCCCACCCACTTGTTTGAACTTTCCTACACTCCCTCCCACTAGTTTGAACCTTCCCACACTCCCACCCACTAGTTTGAACCTTCCCACACTCCCACCCACTTGTTTGAACCTTCCCACACTCCCACCCACTTGTTTGAACCTTCCCACACTCCCACCCACTAGTTTGAACCTTCCCACACTCCCTCCCACTCGTGTGAACCTTCCCACACTCCCACCCACTTGTTTGAACCTTCCTATCTGATTGAACGTTTCTGTTCACCCCTTCCCTCCGATGGAACATTCTCATCCCCTCACCACTTCCCGGTGACCTTCTAACAGACAGGAAACAGAGAGTTATAGTGAGAGAGTAAATACGTGACTGGAAGATAATGATAAGTGAAGCCCTTGGACCACTCCTGCTCCTTAGAGTGACCTTCCCTACGAGGTAACAATCTGCCTTGACATTGTCTGGAGGATAACGAGCGAACAGCTCGTTACACGATGCTACAGTGGAGGGGGGTTACCTTGAGGTGCTTCCGGGGCTTAGTGTCCCCGCGGCCCGGTCGTCGACCAGGCCTCCTGGTTGCTGGACTGATCAACCAGGCTGTTAGACGCGGCTGCTCGCAGCCTGACGTATGAGTCACAGCCTGGTTGATCAGGTATCCTTTGGAGGTGCTTATCCAGTTCTCTCTTGAACACTGTGAGGGGTCGGCCAGTTATGCCCCTTATGTGTAGTGGAAGCGTGTTGAACAGTCTCGGGCCTCTGATGTTGATAGAGTTCTCTCTCAGAGTACCTGTTGCACCTCTGAAGGGGGCCTTAACAAACTACGTGATTGGTTAGTAATGTGGCTTCTAGAGTTCAATCCCAACAGGTGTAACGTAATGAAGTTTAGGAATGGGAAGAGAGACCAGAAGGATATGGGGTAGGATAAGAGGAAGGATATGTCAGGTGTCTCCAAGTTTCCTTTCACCTGATGCCCTAGAAGTCCAATAGGCTTCCACTCCCCAGCAATGGAAAACCATGTTGCTAGCCCTTACCCTGTCCTCTCGCTTAACACTTTATTTATTTATTTATTTATTTATTTATTTATTTATTTATTTATTTATTTATTTATTTATTTATTTATATACAAGAAGTTACATTAGGTTTGTGAGGATACATAGCATGGTGTTAACATTCTCGTAAAGCCACTAGTAAGCGCAGCGTTTCGGGCAGGTCCTTAATCTAACATATAATTTTAAGTAGGTAAATTCTAGTAAAATTTATAAAATGTTAACAGATATATGGCAAGAAAAAATGAGAGAGATTAGTATATTAAAGCACATCGGAAGCTCTGATTGATAGTGTTGACAGCTTGATTGATAATTTGACAAAGATTAATAGGAACAATAAAGCATAATGATAGCATATATAAGATGACAGCAATGATCACAATGGTAAAGTTGTTTGGATTAGGTACATAAAGATTGGGAGATTGGGTAACACTAAATACAGTGCAAGTTAAAGCACAAGGTAGGACATTATGAAGATGATATTAGGCATTTTTTGGTTTTATTTTTGAATAAGGCAAAAGTTGGACAGTTTTTCAATTCATTAGGGCGTGAGTTCCATAGACTGGGTCCCTTCATCTGCACAGAGTGTTTACACAGATACAGTTTTATTCTGGGGATATCAAAGAGATATTTATGTCTGGTGTGGTGATTATGGGTCCTATTACATCTGTCCAGGGAGAGTTTCAGCTGAGAAATACATAGCATTTTGACGTCAAAATCGCCAACGGACAAAATATGATGTACTACAAATCACAGCGGCTCACAAACATCCTCGTTTTCTGTGCCTGGGTCGTCGGTTTGGTTAGGTTCAGGTAATATAGTACATCATTTTTGTGACGTTGTGGCAGTTTGAGAGGACGGGCTGTACACAGTGGCCACATATAAATAGAATAGCAAATACAACATTCAGCAACCTAATCAAGAGAGTTAGAAAGCCTTCAGAACATTAAACACAACCTACGTCAGACCAGTTCGAGATTATGCAGCTCCAGCGTTGAATCCCAGTCTTGTGGAGTAATACATGCATTAATACACAAATAGATTATTCAAAGGTTACAGCTACAAGACAAGTATTAGAAATATATAGTTTTAAACTTTGAGTTTAACTCTAAGACTAAGGGATCCCACTCTAACTTAAAGAACGGTCAGAGCGGATATAATCCCGACATATAAAATACCTGCAGCGAGTAGGTGAAGTTATTGGAGATAGTCTTTTCCGAAGAAGTTAATGTAAATTGGAAACACAAGTATATACCCGTATATTTGGACGTGTATATATATATATATGTATAGATGACAGTGCGTGTATGATCGAACCCGGGCCATTAGGATTACGACCCCCGAGCGCTGTCTACTCAGCTGCGAGGCCTCCCGTGGATGTGCGAATGTATATACATGAATGAAAGTGCTTGAGTATACATACGTGCTACAGCCTGTATTCGAGCTTTTGTACGGATATGTATAGCTGTTCGGGTACACATGTGAGTGTGCAACCCATCCTCCGAATTGACAGATTGACAGTACACTTTCTTACTGTCATAAACAGTGCATAATTGCACTTATGGGGCTGTTACGTTTACCAAACTCCCTCCCCCGATTTAATTCTCCTCGTTTTCTGTTAAGACATTCAGTATTTTAGGATGAAGTTTTCAATTTCAATTTTGCAATACACAAGTTTTAAATATCAGGAATTTCTTTTTCAGGTTTATTAAACAAAATAGATTTTATACAAAATTTTAAAATATCCTGAGTTACTTTACAATTTATTGATATATTTTAGTTTTGTTTTATTAGTTTTATAAAACTGTAATATCAATATAGCTATAAGTTAAGTACTAATTGTAATTAAGAAGCAATAAAATAATTATCTTCAAAAACTAAGACGGTTAGGTGAGGTTGTGGTTTTCTATTCAGTTTTTCAGGTAAACTCAAATATTCACAATATATTTGACAGTGCGATTTAATACTAAGTGAAAATAAGTACAATTCCTAACTGCTATGAATAGTACATAATTGTACTTATTTGTCTTCTTACATTTACCACCCCATATTTGGAGGACGGGCTGGAGTGTGGTTGTTTATGTGCGTTTGCTGTTGCTCGTGTGCGCATTTAGATGCGCACATACGAACGTTGGAGACAGTTTTCCCGCTCGCGAAGAGTGGCGCCATTGTTGCCAGGGTTGGACAAGGCCTTTGTTGTCTCAGGCATATAAGAACACCTGCGGCCTTCACTCACAAAGTTTGCTACTGGGTGTTATCAGGTGTGGGTGAGTGTTACCAGGTGTGGGTGAGTGATCCAGGTGTGGGTGAGTGATCCAGGTGTGGGTGAGTGTATCCAGACATGGGATGTTGGTGTTGGTGTGTTGACAAGAGCATTATAAGCATTATATACTAGCCTTCCCGGCAAGTATATAATGCTTATAAACGCACAACCTTTCCTCTGTTGCAGGCCAACATGCCCATCATTCTCGGAGGTCTCATAGTTGCAGGAGCAATCGGGTTGGTCGTTGCGGCCTCAGTGTTGCGCGGCTCCCGAAGGCGTTACCGTGGAAGGAGGCGGAGGTACGGGCGGGAGACAAAGAACTCGAAGAATAACCTGAGCGGGCTGCTGGAGATGGTGCGCGCGCAGGATGTTACCGGCTGCGGCAGGAGACTCATGTGTGAGCTGGCGGCCATTCCAGAGGACATCGAGCTTCCAGAACTGGCGCGAGACATCTTAGAACTGGTCGGGTGAGTGGTGGGGCTCTTCCAGTGACTGTCCTGGGACTGGTCTGGTAAGTGGAAGGACTCTTCAGGTAACTGTCCTGGAACTGGTCTGGTAAGTGGAAGGACTCTTCCAGTGACGTTCCTACCAGTTGCGTCACGTCGTACACATCCTACAAGCTTACACAACATTGGACACCAAACAGAAAAAATCTTGCTACCAGAAATCTTAGCCAAATATCCCCAGTTTGCTAACTGTAGGTAGTAACTGAGTAACTGTAACCTATCCACCGCTGCCCACTGGATAGGGGGCGGTGTGCAGGACAATCATATCAATTGTGACACTAGCTCTCCACATATGTCAGTTGCTTAATTTAGAAACTGTACTTGTGGTCGATCTCGAACCCATTGTTGATGTGACGACTTATTCTGAATTTGTAACTAGCTCATCAAGAGTGTAACTTGCTTATCTAAATGAATTGTGGGGTTCAGTCCCTGAACCCATTATGTGCCTCTATAACCCTTTCTACTACCGTCCACAGGATGGGTATGGGGTCCACTGCGACCCACAGGATGGGGGTATGGGGTCAATTACCGCTCACAGGATAGGTATGGGGACCACTTCCACCCACAGGATGGGTGTACGGGGTCCATTACCGTCCACAGGATAGGAATGGGGTCCACTACCACCCACAGGATGGGTAGGATGGATATGGGGTGCATAATAAATTAACTAAACTAAACTAACTGTTGAATCCAGTGATGAAAAGAGCTCTTTAAACAAAGATCTTTGGTAACCGCAGGAAAGCAGCTTAATCCAGCACAGAACTGGGGACAAAAACTGGTCTGTAGCCTATACTTCTCTGCCCAACTCATAATTCTATAGTAAAACGCAAATGTTTCCCCACCCATTAAACTGCATAATTTCAGAAATATAATTTACCACTTTCTTTGCAATTCCGATAAGAATCGAAGCAAAATTATTGTATACATTTCTTTGTAAAAATTTTAAATACGATCTCAAACAAATTTTGCGTCGTCTATATTCGAAATTTTCGTCTATATGATCTCAAACAAATTTCGGCCGGAATTACATCATAAATACCAACATTTATTTTAATTAACTTTTGTATGTATAATAACACATTAAGTCAAACTAAATTAATTATTAATAAGTAATATTAGCCAGATGTGTGTTAATTCTTGCTAATTATGGCTTAATGAGCAAAACCATTTTCTTGGTTTAAGTTGCGTAAATGTTGGTCAACAACCCGTCCTCCTAACAGAACGTCGCATCTCGACGTATACTCTGCCTAAGGCCAAAAATCGTTATACTAGAAAATGGTGGCGGCTCGCGAGTCTTACATACTGTCCCGTTTTCTGTTTTGGGTCCTCTGGTAGGTTAGGATAAGAGCACTTTAGTAGACAGTTTCTTGATGTTGGGAGACCTTAGGAGGACGGGCTGAGAGGGAGGATGTGGCCGTGTGTTCTGTTATACGTCACCTGACGTGTCTTGAAGATGATATTATTTACACGTCAGAGCAGAATGCGGTTATCTAGGTTTACTATTGATTTGTCACTAATTTACGTTTGTCGCAGCACGAGGTTACACCAATGTCACAGCTCGATGAAGATAAATTAATCGAGTAATTATGAGTCAGAAAAGTAACGGCCCAAGATTATACCAAATACTAATTATACCAACATTTATTTTAATTAGATTATTAACTAGTATTTTACACAACTATGCTAAGGTCACTTGGGAGTTTTGGAAACCGCATAAGAACACACTTTACATTTTAAAATTATTATAATACGCTAATAAATTGACTGCAATTCGCACTTTTCCTCTTCAGACCTGCAGTGAGGCCCGGAGAAGGAGTCCTGCCCCCTGGAGCCTCTGGAGAGTACCTGGAGGCAAAGAGTTATGGCCACTATGGCGGGAACTGTGGCCAGAAGTACTTCACTTGTCCTGAAGACGGACGGCATCTTCTGGGGATGGTTCTTGACCAGCTCCAGTAAGCATTCTTCACCAGGTGTTAATAGACTTTCCACACCTACAGCGTTGGTACTTGGCATTAGGCTCCATTAAGCATTCTTGGCCACCAGCGACCGCCTTAAGAAGGTCTTTTATTCATAAGAATATCAAGGAATATGCCTAAGGCTTATTGAGCCATGCGAGGTATCGTTCCTTACTGCTGTTTCTCAAGGACCGTGTAACAGCTCAACTGTATTTAATGCATGAACAGTTAAACAAGATTCTATGGCTATGAATAGTTCATGAAAGCTCTTGTAATTCAAATGATTTAATATGAATTCGTTAGTACTGCTTCCTTATTTATTATAAATTGTATGTAGTTTTCACCTCATTTTTTGATAGTTTATAGAATATTTAATATATTTGTTTTCAATATATTCACAGTTTTGTTGTCAGTATTTGGAGTTTTTTAAGTTTAGTTCATTTATTATGCACCCCATACCCATCTTGTGGGCGGTAGTGGAAAGGGTTACAGAGGCACATAATGGGCTCAGGGACTGAACCCCACAATTCATTTAGTTAAGCAAGTTACAGTCTTGATGAGCTAGTTACAAAATTCAGTATAAGTCGTCACATCATCATCAATGGGTTCGAGATCGACCACAAGTAGTTTCTAAATTAAGCAACTGACATATGTGGAGAGCTAGTGTCACAATTGATATGTTTGTCCTGCACACCGCCCCCATCCAGTGGGCAGCGGTGGATAGGTTACAATCACTCAGTTACTACCTACAGTTAGCAAACTGGGGATATTTGGCTAAAATTTCTGGTAGCAGATCATTTTGAATTAAATATTTACACATCGCTGGAACATTGGTTATAGAATTGTCTCTGAATTCACGTATCTTTTCGCACTCCATCACATAGTGACGGAGGGTGTGCGAATAATTTTGTTGACACAGTTTACATTTAGTCAGGTCTACATCAGCAGATAATGACTATTCCATAGAAATACTTGTAACCGAGCCTAAGCCGAGCAGTAGTAACATCTAGAAGTCTGCTGATTTTATTGGATGAACCATAGATGTGTGGCTCCTCTTGCATGATAGTATGATGATAGATGGAATTATTGGTGTCAATTTCACTTTGCTGGAGTTACGTAAATATTAACTCACGCATATAAAATGTTAGTTCTAATAATATTTGGTCGAACGTACAGATATTGACTGTTACAGCCATGAAGTTCACGTTTTATAATATTAATTTTGAAGAGGACATGAACAAATTAAACCAAAAAGCAAAATGAAACATTCCTAGGCCTAGTATACATATATATGTACTAAATTAGGCCTAGGATAGCGTATATTAGGTAAAGAATTAAATATTTATGGCTTAAACAGCTTGGGGTCGTTAATTATTTTTCCAATTTTTAATAGGTCATTTGAGCAAACTCAATAATACAAAACGTTAACTTTTTCTGGGGTTCAGAGTCCATAATTGTACGTTTGAGAAAATATTTGTCATAAATACTGCCAACATTGTAGGATGGATTGTACAACATTCCTTAAAACAAATACAAACACAATAAAAGTATTACTGAAGCAGAATTTTATTTCATTATACCGACATTACAAACAACAACAATTTCTGACATCATGCCATGCACTTATTTTTATTTTCCAACAATGGCTTGAGCTGTGAACTCACCTAGTTGTGCTTGCGGGGGTTGAGCTCTGGCTCTTTGGTCTCGCCTCTCAACCGTCAAAAGGATATATGCCCAACTATTTCTGCCCCGCCCGGGATTTGAACCCAGAATTCTCGATTGCGAGTCGAGAACGAACCCGACTGTACTACTGGGACCCCTGTGTGCTGCTGGCCGTGTGCCTGGGACCCCTGTGTGCTGCTGGCCGTGTGCCTGGGACCCCTGTGTGCTGCTGGCCGTGTGCCTGGGACCCCTGTGTGCTGCTGGCCGTGTGCCTGGGACCCCTGTGTGCTGCTGGCCGTGTGCTATCTGCCTCTAATTGTGATAGCAGCCTACTGCACCACGGATACAATATTTGCAGAGCTAAATAAATAAATAAATAAATACATAAATAAATAAATAAATAAATAAATAAATAAATAAATGTTTATTCAGGTAAAGTATATACATACAAGAGATTTTTGCAAAAAATAATAAGTTTATAGATAGAGCTAGTACATACAATGCCTAAAGCCACTATTACGCAAAGCGTTTCGGGCAGGAAAAACATTAAAGACTAAAACTTAATACTAATTGAGTTTAAAGTATAAAATGTGTTGAGAACAAATAAAAATAAAAATAAGAAAGGGGGAACATGGCTGAAAAAGCAGCACAAATATAATTAGGTCGACAAACAGCGTTGTTAAAAAAAAAACAGGTATGGGTTGACAATATAGGGGTAAGGTAGGTTACAGGGAATTTATTAGGTAGTGTTTAGTTTTTATCTTAAACTGGTTGAGAGAGGTACAGTCTTTAACATGGTTGGGAAGGTCATTCCACATTCTGGGTCCCTTGATTTGTAGAGCATTTCTAGTTTGATTAAGACGTACTCTAGGAATATCAAAACTGTATTTATTTCTGGTGTGGTGCTCATGGGTTCTGTTACAACCTTCAATGAAGCTTTTGAGGTCAGGATTGGCATTACAGTTCAGCGTTTTATATATGTATAATACACATGAGAGAATGTGCAGTGACTTAATATCTAACATATTCAGAGATTTGAGTAGGGGTACCGAGTGATGTCTGGGGCCAGAGTTGGATATTGTCCTAATAGCAGCTTTGTGTTGAGTAATTAGAGGACGTAAATGTAATTCAAAGAGCCAAATCTGTAGGGCCAATTAACTCTCTTACTACAGAGTTTAGAGCCATGTCGCATAATAATAATAATAATAATAATAATAATAACAATAATAATAATAATAATAATGAAAGAGGAGTGTAGCTGTACTATATTTTAAGTAAATAAGTTCCCGGGAGTGAGTCAACTGTTGTTTGGTTGTAATCTAAGACAGGTCAATAAGGCTCCCTACTGACCCTAGCAGTAGTAAAACCTTTGGTAATTACCCTTGCAAATGGTCGTTTGAGTGACCTGCTTTATTGGACCAGATTACTTGTGTCCGTTGGCTCAGTTGGTAGAGCGCCCTTGTTCCTTACATTGGGGAGGTCACAGGTTCGATCCCTGTACGGGCTGTAAATATTTTAAATGTTTTATGTAACACATTATCTCCCATACTTAACATTTACTTATAAAACATTATGAAATATGGAGACTCGTTTGTTCCTATTAATATGTTTGTGTATAAAGTCTTCACTTATGACGCGGGAGTTAGTGTGTGGGTTGGGTGTTATCTTGATCAGCACCAACTCCGTTATCTGAGAGCTGTGGTGTTATCGTGTTTCATGGGGATGTGGTGTCTTCATGATGTCATTTATTATGCACCCCATACCCATCACGTGGGCTGTGGGGGGAAAGGGTTACAGAGGCACATAATTTGTTCTTTCGTGGGTCCTTTAGAGTGCCCGCGAATTCCCAAATAACCAATCCATCCTCCAAAAATGAAAGATTTACAGATACCATATATTAAGCTGTAACACGGGGGGGAGGGGAGGGGGGTTCTATTGTAACCCGCGTCTCGTTCTTTACCTTTTAATCTACTTTTACCTTCACCCGGTTCTTAATCTCTATTCGCTTCTCAATACCAAGGGACCCCCAGAGCTTTTACTTGAGCCGACCCCACGCCACGTGGTCTTAAGACCGACTTAAAATTCTACAACCTTATGACGTGGAAACCGACTTCTAGCGAAACTCTAGAATCGCCTTGAGCTGCCACCACCAGACCAGTAACACTGAGCAATGATCGAGGTCTGGATCGATCATGCTAATCAATAAACCTTGGGGCTTGATCCCCACTAGTAATATATATAATTGGATTTACGTTGATTGTGGAATTAATTAACAATCAAAGGGATAATGAATTCTGATTCGGTGTTAGAATCGGCCCAACTCAACTAGGCCACGCTACCCACGTGGTCCCGGACAATGCAAGTAAATTACACAAAATGGAAATTAATATAAAGACAAATTTCTAACTAAATGGTTTATTCAAAACTAAACAAAATCTAAAGATCAAAGCACTCCCTAAACTTATCACGCCCTGACATGAGAAGCAATGAGTTGACCTATTCCCTATAACAACTCTGAGCGACTCTACCTGGTATGCGACCAGCGGTGGACTGCTGGTCTTGGGGGGAGAGGTGGAGTGGATACCTTCCCTTTGTTGCTCCGGATACCACACTGTCTTTACCACATGCTCCACTACCCAGACGCCAGAGCAGCGTATTCTTGCGCCTAGTTTACCAAGTTGCTAGCAAGGCTGAAGTTGAACAACTCATCTCTGTTGCTATGCTACCAGAAATTTTAGCCAAATATCCCCAGTTTGCTAACTGTAGGTAGTAACTGAGTGATTGTAACCTATCCACCGCTGCCCACTGGATGGGGGGCGGTGTGCAGGACAAACATATCAATTGTGACACTAGCTCTCCACATATGTCCGTTGCTTAATTTAGAACCTGTACTTGAGGTCGATCTCGAACCCATTGTTGATGTGACGACTTATATTAAAGTTTGTAACTAACTCATCAAGATTGTAACTTGCTTAGCTAAATGAATTGTGGGGTTCAGTCCCTGAGCCCATTATGTGCCTCTGTAACCCTTTCCACTACCACCCACAAGATGGGTATGGGGTGCATAATATATGAACTAAACTAACTGTTGCACTGACTGACCCAGACTGGTTGAATTATTTTAACTGAAGTTAATTACACAAGCATCTTAGAGAAGGGCTATTCCCGATTACAAAATGGCTATTTGACCTTTGAGAAATAGTGGACGTGGAAACTCTGATGACCTGTGACCTCAGGTCACTCCGCCGCAAAGTCTAGTCCCGGCTCGTGACGTCACTGATGGTGACTTAACTCATTATTCTAACAATCATGATACTCTTGATACTATAAACAGGAATATTATACAATTTGAATGAAGACTAATCTCTCTAAATTACTGAATAATGTGGAATAATTCATCATACGAAATTGTGAACAAAGGCGGCAGTTATTTTCACCGCCAATCCCCAGGGGATGCTCCCGGGTCACTACACATGGGCCCAGCTTCCCATTCTTCCATGCGTAGATAAGAACATTCTGAATCATTCCTACAACAGCTAGTTTATTACAAAGCAAGCTTAATCTAACCTAGCCAAATCTATCCTAACCTAGCCTAACTAAAACCTAACCTAGTATAACCTAGCCTAATCTAATCTAACCTAACCTAACCTATCCTAACCTAACCTAACCTAGGCTAGCCTATCCTAACCTAACCTTGGTCAGCCTAACCTAGCCTAGCCTAACCTAACAACCTAACCTAGCCAAGCCAAACTTAACTTAGCCTAACCATTCTAGGCCTACAACAGTCTTACCTGGGACGCGGTCGGGTCAAGATACCTGCTCCGCACCTTCCCCCCCCCCTCCCCCCATGCTGGGTACTGAGATGGAGACTCAGTCAC